GTGGTCCAAGAAAGTGGTATTTTCTGATTTTTTTGTTTATTTCAAATATTCCGATTGTGTGAGTGTCAAAGGCAAGACTTTACGCGCTACTCTGCCAGCGAAGCTGAAGAGCTGGAAAACCTCGACGGTGTTGGCCACTTGCAGAGGTTTTCTTGTCCAAACGACTTGAAGAGCCCTGAAGAGCTTGTTGGAGCATTGATTGGAATATGTAATATATATATATATATGTAATATTGAATTATATAAATTGACGTGCAATGCCTTCGGGGTTGCTGCACTGAGGTGACGAGAGTGGGTGGAAGCAAGTCAACGGTGATGTATTCAGAAAACCAGATCATCTCGCAATCTTCACGGTGGTGTATGCATCTGGCTGCCATTTGGCATGCACCGTCTTCATTGTGCTCATTTTTGCGATATGCAATTCGTGCCTCGTTGCAATGAAGGACATTTGTTTGCAATGATTGCGTCTCCAGAATGGAGAACGGAACAAATTTAAGCAGACTCTTTTGGCTCATCTCGGCTTCCTTGTCAGATCGTGCCATTGTGGAGCTTTGAGAGGTACTATGCTTCACGGGGGGCAACGGCAGGCTCCTTCGTAATAGCCTATCTTTGCACTGTCATTGCACTTGCCTTAGCAGCAATTTATAGCGCAGAAATCGAGAAGCAACCCAAAAGTTCGCTCCAACTGCAGTTTTGAAGTAAACAGAGTGAGGTTGGTGGCTATGAGGGTGGCAGGATATTCCGAATGTTTGGAGGGCAGCAATGGAAGAGGACTTCTTCCGGAAACGATTGGCTCACTTTGCTGTCAGACTTCTTGTTGATAGATTGGAGGACGATGGTTTACCAGTGTCTATTCATGCCGGGTGTTGTCCGGACCTGAGTAAGAAGGACTTCCAATCCAGTGTGGTGTGATATGGATGTGAGACTGGAGGTGTTCATGAGCTTCGTCGTCATCAACACCACGGCAATTTTCTACAGAGCTACGATGACTGCTCCTTGGCCAATAGCCCTGAAGCCATAGGTTTTGAACATGCTTTTTTCTAGATGTTCAGTGTTCATTTGCTCATATTTGCTCTGCATATGTTTGAAAGGTACCGTTCAAGACGATTTTCATCATCATTGTCCTCTTTCTAGCTGTTTGCGTGCCACTGCACACAGTTCTGAACTCAGCGTTGACAAGTTGAGAGTCTGGGGGAAGCTGTTTCGCAAAATAACATCAATCTTTCAGAGAGACCCACTTGTTTGGGCTTGGAATGACATGACAACGGAAACGCTAAAGGTTGGCACACTGTTGGGACGAAGGGCAGCAGCTGAGCGATCCTTTCCATGCAGAGTTCATCACTTGAAAAGGTGGGCTTCCGAAGTCCTCCGGGACAGGGGCTTGTAACAAGCGGCCTGTACACTGTCAGTACTATGTAGCTATGGAAATTTTGTTGAATCACACTGAATGATGTTGATGTGTCCGCAGCTAAGCTCTTCCAAGCATGTGCAAAAAAACAAACCATCATGGGCTGTGGCTTTGCATTTAATGTAGTCCCAGGTCCTGCATAGAAACTGACACTCCAGGTGTTTCCGTATGTTCAGAGCCGCTTTTTCTTGCGGTTTGCAAAAGTATAACGAAAGTGCGAAATAACGATTTGCCTTGGTGAGGTCATATCGCCTGCAACATTGAATCTGTCTTTACCCTCTCCAACTAGAATCTGGATAGAGATTCTGGAAACAGAAATCATATAGAGGCAGTCAGCATTTTGAGAAGATGTTTTCGAGAGTTTTAAGAGTTCAAGCTTCTTCCACCTTTCAGACATTGAGATTTGATATAGACTTGGTTAATCTTGGTTAATCATGGTTATCGTGTATTTATCGTGTATTTATCGTGTATTTATCGTGTATTTATCGTGTTATCGTGGTTACCGTTGTGGTTTGTGACCTCGGCAGGCCCATTCCAACGAAGCACTGGGCCTTTACACCTGTCATGACGATGGTCGCAGGCGCGCTGCGCTGCGCGCACTCCAAATCCCATCGAAATTCCTAGACAGAATAGATTCTTAATAGATTCTTAATAGATTCTCAATAGATTCTGAATAGATCATAATAATTCAATATAATATAATATAATCATAATATATCTCAATGTATACTCTTGTTACTTTTGCTGTTCGTGTCTCAAGTCTTGTGTTGCCAGGTATTGTACCCTTTGGGTGCCTCTTCATTGAAATGTACTTCATTCTCTCAGCGGTTTGGAGCCACAACAAGATCTACTACGTCTATGGCTTTATGTTTGCCATCCTCGTTTTGCTATGTCTGGTAATAATTTGCGTTAGCATTACTTGCACTTACATCCTTCTGAATGCGGAGGACTATAGGTGGCAGTGGCAGTCATACATTAGTTGTGCAGCAACTGCGCTCTACGTTTTCCTGTACACCATCCACTACTTCTACAACTCAACGCAGATGTCCCGAGCTCAGCAGAGACAACTCGCCTCACACTGGTCCGTTTCTTTCGTCAAACCATTCATCACTCAGTCTTTCTGATCTTTCTGCAGACTGGGAGAAAGGGAATTGAGGTCTGGCTTTCTGCAGACCGTCTACTACTTTGGTACATCCTTCAATTTCTGCATTGGCCTAGCTCTTTTTTGCGGTTCTTTGGGCTTCATCGGCGCCTCCAAGTTCGTCTTCCTTATATATAGCAATATCAAGGCAGAGTGAAGTTGAGTGAGTGAAGGAAACGCACTCAGAACGCCAAAGCAGTGGTGCATGCAGACTTGAAACAGAGAGTGGCATTGTACCCAGTTGCAACTTGGCAACCTCCTCGCAATTGAAGAAAAAAGGAGCGCCCGTCTTTCAAAGGAAGTGGTCATGAGGGACAGGCTAGATTGTTTGCAGGTCTGATGTTAATATAGATTAATATACATATGATACATATGATACATATGCATGTAGTGAGATAAGTGAGATATCTACGTAATTGACTTTTGGACTTTTGGGATCTTTCGAGCAAGCGACTTCCAAGCAGTGCAAACACAAAAATACATTTTGTCTTTGTTCTTCATTCTGGTGCCGACAGATAAAAACGATGAAGAAAGTGTTTGGCAGATCTTGTCCAGAATGGTAGTGTGGCTGGTCGAGCTCGCTTTCTGCTTTTGTTCAATTTGGATTAGAAACATCGTCTGGTCTTGGTCTTGGTCCTTCAATTCTTGTGAAGATAGCATTGCTACTTGCTAAGATTCTGTCCAAGTCGGGCAGGCACAGTTGGGGCCAGCTACAGAGTGTTGGAATTGCTTAAGCTGCTACAACATGGACAAAAGCACTATTTTGTTGATGAGATTGCGATGCGGCTTGAACACCTTAGGCTCTTGGGCTTTAGCTTCAGATCCTTTGCTGAAAGGAACTTAGGAGCTTGCTGCAAGACACTGCCAGCAGAGAAAACCTGCTCCACACAAGTATTGCAGATGTTTACACAATGTCTACGATCTTTCTCCGCCTCTTGCTCAATCATATCTAAGAGCCCCAAGCCCGCTTGACAAGTCTTGCTCCTTGCTCGGTGCTAGATGCCAAGCTGATGGATGAGGCCTGAAATCGAAATAATCGCAAAAATGCGCAGAGTGAAGCGATTGTACTGTGCAAATCATTTGCACAGACTGCAATCTTCGCTAGCCCAACCCAGCTTCAAAATTCAGCTGTCTGGCATGTGAAGGCTTCAAATCTTGAGGATGTTCCTTCCCACTTGGAGTGTGCCATTTGCTGGAAGGCTTCTTTGATCGCACGTGGCAGAGATACAAAGATAATCAAGTTCACTCCATTGCAAGGGGTCAGCATGACTTGACATCACTAGAGCAGTCGATTGTGGCTTTCTTGCAGTTGCTACTGGAACCTGTGTCTGTGCCATGCGGCCACACATTTTGCAGCGCCCTAAGCTAGAAAGCCATTCCAATGCATTGGACGACGGCGAAACTGCGAAGTCAGATAAAGTTGTTACCTGTCCCATCGAGGTCAGGGCTGCCTGAACCAAGCTCTCGACTACAGGAGCTGAGTGAATTCCATACACCGAAATTTAAGCTTCAGATGTTTTTGGAGAGAAGTAATCAGTTTTTGATGTACATATAAACATATATTTATACATATTTAGTCTTTTTTTGTTCACCAATGAATCAATTCACTTGGCATGAAAGAGGCAGGGAAAAACATTCTTGGAAGGAGAAAAAACTCTCCCGCAGGCTACAAATATATACCCATGCATTGAGTTTGGCAGGCTTGGGTGTGCATGTATCATCTTTAAGTGATTCAATGAATGCTATCATTTTGGCTCAAGTGGAGTTGAACCAAAATAGCATTCATTGCTTTTTCTTTCTATAGGTCTGGTAAGGGGTGACCTTCCTAGACCTTGATTGTTTCCAGGGGTGACCTGGTGGGTAGCAAGGGGAGACCTTGCATGCAGCGGAAGCTTCCAGGGATAGACATTTCGGCGGCCACTGAGGCGAATATCCTCCATGCGGCTGCTTTCATTGAGTTTAAGCAGCACGTCGAGAGGCTGGCACGGGAAGGGTCCGATCTGGCAGCCTATACTTGCTGGACGCACGGGGTGGAAAGCTGTCATTCACCCTATGTCATGGCTACTGGCACAGACTCTGACTTGTTTCCCCCGTTGCCCAAGATGCCCTGCTGCATTGAACACTGCAATCGCTGCGCAGCCCGCTTTGGCGGGTTCAAGTTCCCCTGGCTCGGTCTGTGGAACAGCCGTGGAGTCATTCTGTCTCCGGATGTGGCTCCCAACGAAGCTTGGGACTATTTCTACAGGCACCAGGAGAGGATGGATCTTTTGTTGGTGGCGTACACCAACTTCACAACAGCACCCAACCTGGTGCCGCAGGAGCTCTATGGCTTGCAGCTCAGGTGCTCAGCGGGTGACGCTGGGCAACTGGGCGTTGGAGAAGTCTTCGATCAATGGCGCACCTGGCTCGACAGCATCGGCAGCCGAGGGGTGTTGGCAAAGTTCGTGGAGCCGCGTGCTTACCCACGAGCTCCCAGGGGGCGACCCTGGCAAGCGTGGGGGCCAAACGGATCCCGTGCCCACCGGGCACTTTGCGGCTGGCTGGAGAGCCAAGCAGCAGGCACTTTGCAGCTTGGTACTGCCTGCATTGACTGCGGTGATCCTACCAGGCGCGTCTGCTGGGCATGCTGCGTGGGATTATGTAGTGCCTGCTTCACCTGGAGGCAGCCTTGTGGGCACTGAGCGTAGGAAGATGCTCTCGGACGTATGAGATTATGACAGAGGAGGATCCTCTGCAATCACCGCAGCATCTTTTTGCTCTCCGCACCTTAGCAATTCTGTTAGGGTGCAGTGCCATGGCATCAGGCAAGGGCTACGCGGCGCAAGCAGCAGCCTCCTCCTCGTCAGGAGGTGACCCTGCACCAGGATGGAGGGCAGCCGGTTCCTTGATGATGATCGCTGCGCAAAGAGCACGTCAATGGAGGGAGTCAGAAGGCTTCTTGGACGACAACGACTTTGCCTACGCCTACACTGACTATGACCAGGTGGTTGGGCTGGCTGGTCATCACGTCGCTGATGACTGGCTCCAGACGAGAGCAAGGGTGGAGGAGGAACTCCTTGCTGCTGGGGCCAAAGTCGTTGAGGACAACCCCAAGGGTTCAGTAGTTCTGCGTCCTGTCCGCAAGACGATCTACAAGAGGAAGCCCCGAGCAATCAACGTGGACAAGAATCTCAGCGAGGATGTGCAGAAGAGGGTCAACGGCCTCGTTTCAATGTTGTTGGTATGGGCTCCTACAAGCCTGCCGGCATCCTCACGGACACGCTCAGGGCAGAGTGGAAGCAGACCTGTCGAAGGATTGCCGAAAAGAAGGTTCAAGATGCAGCCACCATTGACCGGGTAGTGAAGTCATGGCTGGAACTTCGGTCTTTCCTGGAGAGCCGGGGGCGACCCGCTCCTCCAGAGATGGTGGACCTGGACCTGTACTGAGTGCCAAATTTTGACTAAAAACTTGCAATCAACTAGTGGAGTTGCGGGCGATGAGCCCGCTGAGGTATCCACTCCACCTTGCACAGGTCAGCAGAGTTCCTCATCCCAGCCCCTTCCCATTCAAAGAGCTCCAGCACCTTCAGCACCCCCTTCCTTTGACCCGGTGTGCCTTCTCACCATTCCAAACACATCCAATTCTTGGCTCCGACAACATGCCCACTGGCCTGGCCGATGGAGCCTTCGCCCAGTGGCTCAAGGACCTTCAACTTTCGGGCATACAGCGAAACGTCCTCGCGACGAACAACGCCAAGGCGGATACATGGCATGCTAAACAACCAGCTGAAGCCCTTGAAACAGTTCAGAAGGTTGCTGTGATGATGGGCATTCCGGTCACTTTGTTAAATAAGAACTTCAACGCCACGAACCTTATCAAAGACTGACTGCAGCAATCAATATGACCAATTGACTAGCTCCGCTTCTCCGGAGGAAACTCAAGCACAAAATGCTTCAATATCATCTTCAGGCTCTTCACTCGATGATCCTGATCATTTCCATTCTCACACCCTTGACTATGGCTTCCACCGTCTCTCTTTTTCAAGGGTTTCGTATCATACAAACCCGCATGATGGTCCTGTCCGTCATCCATGGTCTCTGGCCTAATCCAAAACTCAAAGCAATTTTGGAAGGGTGTGCCAATCTCAACCACTTGTGGGGCTTCTCTCTTGCCTCACTCAATCTCTGTCCGCAGGCATTTTTCCTAACCCAATGCGTATACATCCAATTAACGCATATTATGAACATGCAACCCAAGTAATATAGTGGGTATGCCATGCGCCACGCCCTGGATCAAGAGTACAGCCGGTCCCGGAAAATTCCTTCAACTCAGCAACGACAAGCTGGTTCATGCTGAATTGGCACTCAGATTTTGGCACGAACATCAAAACCTCTATGTTTGGGCCCCGGCCCTCTTTTTGTACGTCGAGCTGACTATCGACTATCGCTGCCTTGAACATCCAAGAGTGGCAACCTAGGCTCAACTACCCTTTCATGTGCCATTTTTGCCACCCTCGGAAAGGAATTTTGAAGAAGCCAGCCATGAACACCAACGCTCAGTTTGGCCTGGCCACTCTTTGGCGTCGTGCCAAACACAAATTCACACCACAAGTGGTCCTCTGAACGGTTCCAAAACTGGCTTGAACTCTGGACGATCATCCATGCCCTGAGGTCGAATACAAAGGCTCGTTTTGAAACAACCGAGATGCTGCGATCGAGTGCGGGGGGCCTCACCCGGTGCTATGCACTCCGTCGGCTCGGTAACAACATCCAAGAGCCTTACCGGACTCTGTCACTTCAGGCCATCGATGCCTGCATACGCTGGTGGCGTGGAAAACCAGCGCCACGCGCTTCTGCATTGAGTACTTGAGCGACTGACGGGTCACTACAACATGCCACAGGATCATACAGGTGTCAGGACATGCTTTCCAGGTCTGGTCCTTCTTCTGTTGGACTCTGGGAAGGTTCAAATGTGCACGTAAATCAGCCGGCGACCACTACTGACAGCCGTCTACAGGGTTGGAATTGACTACCGAGGGCCTTGAGTGTGTTATGAATGCGATCGTGGATGCAGCATTTTCATTAACTAGTTCCCCATTGGTCCCCCATTTCATGCGTGTCCCCGTGTTAGGTCAGATTTGGGTCCTGCGCGTGCCGAGGTAGGTTTGGCTCTCGCCTTGTAGGTTGTGTCAGACGCTTCTGTCCGCCCCCCCTCCTGTGGTCGGTGTTTGGCCCGTCGTCCGTCCGCCTTTTCTTTTCCCTTGCCCTTTCGGCGTTCGCCCGTTTTGAGCTAGGTGTG